CCAAAGTGGAGCACCCTCAGTAACTTCTGTCTGCACGGCCCAGCACTGCTCCCAGCACTGTTTTCAAAATGGGAGGGAGGAAGAGAGCAGAGGGAACTCATTCTGGGGGTTGCCCAGCCAGCACTGGAGTGTGGGACAGGTGGATTGGAGCCCACCAAGGTGGAGGACTCCAATCCAGTCCACCCCCTCCACTTCAGCATAGCTGGGAAAACCTCTCATCCTGGACTGGCCCTGAATTGGAGTTCGATCTCCCACCCTCCTGACCCAACAGCTAATGTCTGTAGGGTCAAGAGTTTCGGTCTAACTCATGGTGCTTTCTGTGAAGCACCATGAGTTGGACCCAGGAGCAGCACTTCTGTCTGTGCCTTCAGTGCTCCAGACAGGCTCTTACCCTGCCAAGAAGCTTCTTTGCAGCTAGCATAGGTATCTCTGCAGCTTGCAGTGCAGACATAACCCTTGGTCCCAATCCAGCAAAGCACTAAACCATGTTTTCAGTCCATGAGCCGCCCCATTGAACTCCATCCCCCCATTGAACCAATTCACATTGCTTAAAGTAGGGGCTGTGTTTATGTGCCTTGCTGGTTTGAGGCTTTAGTGAAAGCAAAAACAAATTAAGAACTAATAAATGAATAGAAACAGCTCCCCAAATCCCTGAAGGCTGTTAAACCGGAAGGCAGTTAGAGAAGACTTGCGGTCCCCTACCCCAGATGTTTCTTGCCACATGGTACTCATAGCTCCACGTAGCTATTTTTCACTTTATTTTCTTAGTAAAGCAGAAAAGAGGGAAACCACTTCAGATGTAATTGCTTCTTGCTGCTCCTGCTCAGCTCTGTTAGACAAACAGTAGGGAGAATTCGGTTTCTCCTGTATCTTCTCTTTAAAAACTATCTGGGATATTTGCAATCCAACAGCTGCTTTCTTAATTGATTGTAGTTACCTCTTCCAAAGAAATACCCATTAGCTTTTGGCTAGGGTAGATTGATTTTGTTACGCAACATTGTGTTCTATAAAATAAAAAAAACCCTAATGCAAATAGTAAAGGTGAATAAACCATGAAAGTGTCCTCACTGCTTCAAAGGGGCCCATATGCTGGCATAAACATTGGGGTTTGTTAAATGTTTGGCAAGTTTTCTGTGCTTCTCCTGTTTCATTCTGATCACAGATGGCCATCCTGGGCAGGGGCTCACATTAGGAAATATTAGCTACCATGCAAGTCATTTTGCATTGTATCTTCCTCCCTTTTGAAGCCCTATGCCCCAATCCGAAGCCCATTAAAATCAATCAGAGCCTTTCCACTGACTAAATAGGCTTCGAATGCAGTGTCTGTTCTCTACCTGAATCTCTCAAATTGCTGATCACATGCATAATGCCTTTCCCGTGTCTATCGTGGGACGCTGTGTGACGCGGGGATGTGAACAGCTATTAGAAGTAGGTCTGTTTAACTTTCTCTTCACCTGCAGCTAGCGACATGATGTCTGGCTATGTACAACCACCTGAAATGCATCAAAGTCTGCATTTGTCAGGTAAATATCAAGAGCTACTTGTCTCAAGGAAAGAAAGTGAATGGCAGGTTATTTATGACACATTTAACATCCAAGGAAAACCACAAACACTTCCTAGCTCGGTGAAATTGGCAGGGTCCATAGCTCTATCTTTTAATCGCCATTCTTTCATCCTTCTTGAAAAATCCCTAATTTTCCAAATGTAAAATTTAAGACCCAGTGGTACCAAAGAGCTTCTTTAAGCTTGCCTTGTGGTTTTGAGCAATACATCATGAAAGCAATGATGCTCAGATGATGCATTGCACTAATACATCATAAGAGCACTATCGCTCTCATGATGTATTAGTATAATACCCTATCAGAGCACTATCATTGATGTATTACTCAAAAACACCGTTTTAACCCTCAAAAAGCATTCTGAACACTACTCTATATTTACTGAAAGCTGTGGATAACTGTAACAGCGAACAATAGAGTATTACTCACTTGGCTGTAGGGCAGACTAGGGAAAGAGAGAGATGTTTCAGAATACTTCATGAACTGAGACTTTCTTATGTTTTCTCTTTATTCCAGGAAGCAAATGCTTTGTGTGAACTGAAGCTAGCTCCATCTAGCAGGCTTTGCATTTCCTTTTTTTCTTTTTTTCTTTATTTGGGGTTTCATTATACACTTGAGCTGCATCTCCTGAAAATTTCCATGAGGTTCATGCGTTTGGGTTGATTTGCAGCTTCCAAAGTTGTACCAAGTGTAAAATATGTAGTGGTCTTTGCTCAAAGCCCATGGGACTCTTCCTGATTCACCTCTTCCTACCTCTGGTATCTAGGCACCAACTACACGTGTTCAAAAGCAGCATAATTCTCTCTTAACGAGCATTGTCCGCTCTTTCTCTCTACCAATGTGCTGTGTTTCTGAGGAATTTTTCTGGTAGACTCTTTCTGAAGAGTGGGAGGGAAAAATAAATGAAAAACACCTTGCTACTTTGCAGCTACCTTTGCTGCAGAAAAGCTTACAAAGATAGATGAGTTTTGCCCCATGCTCTTAATGTGGCATGTCTTTGGGTACAGCCATACACAGAAAAAGGCCCTCCAGTGGGATTGCCTGCATTTGACTCCTGCCTTTGACTTTTTTGGGGTTGCATGAGTTTCCCTGGGTTGATTTATCTGTGGTGTAAGTCTGCTGGAGTCAGTGGGGTTAGATCAGGGATGAGCATGGGTCAGGTGAGGAAAATGACTTGGTGAAAGCCATGCCATGCACAAAGGACAGTGATGAGTTTTAGAACTCATCGGCATCCTTTCGTCTACAAGAGATGGTGGATATTGCAGCCTATGATGGAGGTGCCTGGTTTGCAGCATCTCATGGGGATGAAGAGTCCAATCTGAGATTTGCATGATCTGTGGCAGTGGTTACAAGTGTATGCATCATGGTTGGGTGGTTCGGGAGCTGCTTGCTTCCTACGGGCTCCTTTCTCTTCAAGCAGTTCGAGCCAGTTCCCATCATGGATGTCGATGCCCTGGTTGAGACGATGATGCCATTTGTTACAATCACTTGCCAAAGTTTCCAGTTGGTCAGGATCAATTCCAAATGTCATCGCATCTTGCTTACATGCGTCTTTGTAGTGATGGACGTCCTGTTGTTCTTGTTCCCTCCGATCGTTCCCTGTCTAGCATGTCCTTGGGTATACATCCACCTTCCAGTCTGCTCAGATGGCCGAGCCAGCGTTGTTGGCTCTGTGTGAGTAGGGCTGCCACACTTGGTACATTTGCCTTTTGAAGAACCTCTGCACTGGTAATGTTATTGGTTTGCCATTTGAAGCTGGTCACTGTGGAGTCCAGGTAGCTGAACTTTTGGACTACTGCAAGTTGGTTTTAGCGTGGACTGTGGTAGAGTTACACGAGAAAAGAAAGTGGTCATGTGAAAGCCTCCTCCACTGCATGAGGATGATGTCCTTAGCTGTCCACCTGGCAGGAGGAGAGGGGAGCATTAGTTAAAGCCTGGACAGAGCTTGAGAAATGTAAAGTATTATATAGATGCTTAATAGTACAAGGCTATGATGTAACTTCTAGTATGGTGGTTAGGTACTGCCTTGCACTAGAGATACTGGTGAGAGGGAGCGTGTGTAACTTTTACTACTGTGGTCAGAGCTACGTGGCTTGCTGCAGCCGAACACACGCATGTACATATCCTTTTTTTTTCCCTCCTTCTTCTTTTCCTTCTTCCAAAGGCATATTGGAGCTTTGGGACTTCATTACCCATTTGCTTGCCCCAGTAATATGAGGATCTTTGATTGGTTTCATGGGTGAGTCTAGAGCCAGCTGGCAAAAGTGTTTTCCCTGCCTTAGGAACTTCTCTCAATTAGGCTGATGGAAAACTGGCACGTGTTCACCTGAGCACGACCGCTGGAAAGCTGAGTTGTGCTTCAGGAGTCTCCTGCTCATTCACTCGTTCACGCAGAAGCTTCCCCAGGGCTGGTGGCAACGTAAAGCCCCTTCCCCTCTCCCACCCTGGTGCAAAAAGGACCAGTCACGTGTGTTGGAGATGGCTAACCTCGCAGCACCCCAGAAGAGGTTGGTGCCTGTGAAGAAAGGCGGCGTCCTTGTTGATGGTGACAGGATCCTGCTGTGCACACTTCAGGGTGTGATCCCGCCTCTGCTGAGGACAGTGGGAACCTTCCCATTGACTTCAGTGGGTGTTGTGTCCGACTGTTTGTTTCCACCCACTCTCCAATGGGCTGTTGTTGACTCTGACGTCCTTGACTGTATAGTCCCTGTGGTCTGTAAGTGCTGTGTCCACCTCGGGCTGGTCCCCAATGGGTTTCATATCACCAGAGCTTTCCACCCAGGCTTGTATCTGCAGAATCCTTGGGTAGGTTTGGTCCATTAAGTTCAGATACCGCTGAACTGGGAAATGTTCCAAAAGCAAGACTTGGAAGTACCTTTTTAGCCTTGTCAAATACACCCCGTTAGGCATGCCATCCATCCCTTTGCGTCTTGCCTCTGATACAGTATCTGTGCAGTACGCCAGTGGGGTCTGAGGAGAATTTCCTTTATCCCATCCTCGTCTCAGCCTTTTGCCAAGCCGACATTGTGCAACCCCATCCATGAAACCCCCTGTTGCTTACACCTGCTATCTGCCTTCCTGGGCCAGCAAATTCTTATTCCTGTTGGTTTCAGAGTCAGTCTAGTCGGCTTTGAGATGCGTTGTCATTTCAAAGCCGTGGCTAAATACGGTTCAGACTGACAACTATGAATAATTCCCCTGAGCCCTCCGCTTCCTGCCACTCCACTCGCAAGCTCATCTATGCAGCAAAGTCGCTCTCTCATGTGTTTCATCTTGCGTATTCTCAGATGATTTGAGATACCATTATAGAACAGGTTAACACATTTTTCTCTGAAAATAATACTGTGGCAAGGTGTAATCATTGGATGTCTGGAAAACACCACTGGCACCTAAAAAATAATGCTCTAGGCACTCACTGTGGCTTTGTTTTTAAATTTGCAGCACGTCCATGTCCACGTACTTCCAAGGAGGGCTGGAGACTTCAGCAGAAATGACAGTGTCTACGACGAGGTAGGTCCGCACGCAGAGGTCTTGTTCCTGGATCGAAGCGGTTGTCAGCTTTGACAGTATCAGCTCAATGAGCCAGGCTTTGCCCTAGGTAAAGTGAAAGGATTTGGAATGAACTCTGCCAGATTTGACCCCTCGAATTTATATATATATGGCGTCTGTTCATCAGCAAGCGCTGGTGGATATTGCAGTGATGGGAATATCGACCCCTCGAGTTGGTTGCAAAGAATCTGGTGATGAAGATTGGCCAGACACCACATTGTGTGAATTTTCTTCCAAGTGAGGGATCATACCGTGCAGCCAGACAGTAAATTAAGATAGTGGGAGGCAGTTGCCTAATGCCTTCCCGTGGGTAGGCTGTGCTGTGAGTAATGGCACAGATATCCTCTTTGCAGAGATGTTGCCTTCTCTCCTCAACGTGTTCAGGCAAAACTGAGAGAGCGAGGGGAAGGGTCAGGGGAGTATTTTGGCCCACATGCTGGAATATAGCTGGCCCCCTACTCTGCAAGCTCAGGAGCTCGTCTGCTCCAAGCCCCTGCTCAAGGCAGGATCATCCCTATCTAAACCATCCCCTCCTCCCCACAACTGTTTCTCCAACCTCACCTGAAAGCTTCCAGTAACAGAGGAGCCACGACAAGGTGTACGGCTGACCGTGCCCTGCTTAGTTGGCTTGGTAAGTGATTGCATCTAAAACATACAAACTTTTTTTCTTTCTGAAAATAGCAAGTGTAAACTTTTTTTCCCACACCACCAAATCACCATCTGTTTTAGGATCAATTCACAATATTTTTATGCTACCGGAGGGCTGTGGGTTTTTTTTCTTCATGAGATACACACGGTGATGTCTCCCAATAGAATATTATTCATAGAACTCAAGATAAAAATGCTGTAGTATATTTTTAATACCTTCTGATTTTTATAACTGTGCAAAGAAGTATGGTAGGCAAGGATTTAGTCTTGACTAACAGTGACTTCCTGTGTGAAGAGAAGAACTCTGATCTGGGAAATATATAACCATGTAAATAAGTATATTTATAAGAAAACAGTCTTATTATTATACTTGCCTAGTGCTGTGGATAAAGGGATATAGTAACTTGAAGTGTGACTTATGGGGGTTTTTTTAATGTGTTAAGTGGTTTAAGGTACTACAACAGCTCCTGAGATCTCCCGAGATTTTTTTTTTGTAGTTTTGATTTATTTCTTAAATGTGTTTGTCTCCTCCATGTAAAACTTGCGCAAACAAGCAAAGCCAAGTGTAATGAAATGGGCCATACACTTAATGCTGCCAAAAGCAAGAAGCAAACAAACCAATGAAAAATATGCATCATTTTCAGTGATAGCAATTGTAGGTATTACTTGTAGCGGTAGTAAGCAAAAATGATCAGAAAAAAATGTAATAGTGTATCCCTTGGAGAAAGAATCCAAATCACAGTGTTTCCAATATTAAAAACCAGCCACCTTTGAATCCCAAGGAGTTAAGGTACGTTGTGCAATGACTGCAGTGAACCAGGGCTTTTTGGCCTTTAAACTGTTTTTAGTTATATGGTGGAATACTAGAAAAATGTCACTTCGATCCATTTATTCAGATTCAACTAATGGTTTTATTTTAAGCAGTGCATCATTGCTAAAGTAGTGGATTGAGGCCTGGAGATATTTTGGGGAAAAAAAATGGAAATGGCCAACAATTGGGAGGCTCACAGTTAAAAGGGGAGAGGGTATTAGGTTTGGAAGGGAATGGGAGACTGGGATGGTGGTAGGGCAGTGGCCCTGGACAGCAGTGAGCATTTCTTTTGCCACAAAAGGATACGACCTCTTTTCGTGGACATCCATGTGCTGGTCCTTGAAAGGTCAAGAGGTTGGTGTGCACCACCAGCATCATCTCACTGAAGTGCACACCCAAGCACAGCCCATAACTGGTAAGCGCGATGTAACGCAACATAACATTTGTGCAGAATTCTCCAGGGAAGCTGGATCTCAGCTTTGGTTCAACACAAGCTAACATCACACGCTGGCTTTCCCTTCTGCAGCTGGCTTAGAGCCTTCTCAGCTGTGAGATGCCATCATCTGTTTGTGCTCAGTAGACTGCTGAGAAATCTCATCACTCGTTCACTGTCTGACAAGTGAAGAAAATGCCCAGATGTCTGGGCATCAGCCTCAGATTTCTGGAGTGAAGATGTTTTGAAAGGAATTGCAGCCTCTTGTGTTTTTAATCCTCCTTGGCCTGGGAGCTATCATCTTTGCTCTTGAGTTATGGAGACTGCAGAGGAATGAGCACTGGCTCTTCCCTTGTCCGAGCCCATGCTGACAGGGTGTGAGGCTCTGAGGGATCCTCTGCCAGCGTGATTTTAAATGGTAAGGAGAATACTTACCGGTGAAAAAGCATGGGTCTGTTGACTGATGGTTCTTATGGGATTGACTGTTGGGCAGTAACGACCTCTGCTGTTTTCTTTGCATATTTGTGCTTTGCTTATGCTTCAGCATTGGAAGTTTAGTAGCCAAACAAGTGAAAGACAGACAGACACACAATCCCAAAGGGCTTTTCCTGCGGTGTTTGCCCAGATAACTCACTTGATCTTCCAGGATGCATCTACACATGTGCATTTACTGTGCAATAACTGAAATTACTGCACAGTACAGGCATGCGTCTACACATGCAAACCTGTACTGTGCAGTAAATATGGCAGCTTATGCCAACTTGAGCATAAATTTGATACCTGCATCATGCAAGTATCAAATTTACACTCTATTAGTTACCACGCAGTAATGCACGTGTACTGTACGGTAACAGTGTGTGGACTGACTTGGGACTAAGGTTAGTCCCAAGTCAGTCCACACACAGAGTTAATGATCTTTAATGCCTGCATGTGTAGATGCCGGCCTTTTCCCACTTAATGTGCAGTAACTTACTGCATAGTAAATTTAAACCAACATAAATGCATGTGTAGACACTCCCCCTATATATCAAAAAAGTCTCTGCTTTCTTGGTTTGAATTGTTTTAGAGGATCTTTAATAATGAACAGATCCACTCGAACTGGGACCTTTTGGCTGAGGAACGTGCTTTTCCTCTGCATATTTACAGTAACTTCTTTTTTTCCCAGGCAATGCTAACCAGCCACTGTGCACAGTGAAAATGAGAGGGAGGCTTTTTCAGGCATCGTATTTTTATGAAATTATTTGAAGCTCAATCTTGCCAACACTTGCATGTGCATTTGACTTAATTTCCAAAGTGTTTGCTGGATCAGGCCCTATTTATTTTACTCAGAGTACTCCCATTTCACTTGCACCTTGAGATGTTCTTATTGATTAATTCAGTTCATTTGCCAGTGATCAAAATTGCAGTGAAAGATCTAACTAACTATTAGCAAAAGGCTTGAATCAAAACACCCGCTTGCTTACATCTATATATGCCGTATTTGAT